CCCATAGTCTTCGACAGCTGTTTTTTGCACCAAAAAAAAAAAACAAAAAAAATCTTACACAGTTGTTTTGACAACTATGTTGCTTATCAGTCATCATCAACCTATGCAGAAATCAAAGGACAGAGGTGATACACATTAATTATAGTTGGCTTTGGTGAGGGAAAATTACTTAAACATTACCATGTGTTTTTCTGAAAAATACTTAAACCTCCCTTATATTTTGATATTCATGAAAAGTGCTTCATGTTTTAAATAAATATGCAAATGCATCCCTTTCCTTAAATTGTCACAACATAAAAAGTTGATGTAATGCTTTAAAGTTTTTTAATTCTATAAAAAGTTCATTGAAATGAAAATAAGGTGATCCACTTATTTAAGTGGGCTTCATTGTTCACTTTATCAAATGAACAACAAATTCAGGTTGGAATGACTTCAAATCAAGTTTGGATTGGGCAAAACCCATACCCAACCTGAGTCATTTGACATTGTGGCTTGTACAAATTATTATTAAGGGCCCACCGTTCACTGGGGTTCCACCATAAAGATGAAATGGGGAAATATGTACCAGAAAATGTGCTTTTGCTGTGATAAAAAAGGATGCATTGATCAGATGGTTGCAGAGTACCAGTGTCAGACCATGCTGTCTGTAAAATAAGTCTTTTCTTATCTAGTTAGGTCTTATTCTGTATCTTCTAAATATCCAAAACATATAAAGTCATGAGGGCCCACATACAACCTCCTAATCTTATGATGAAGGCAGCTTTCACACTCATTTTTGTTTTGGTCAAAATAAAACCATTTCACATTTAGTGGAGTGAGAAATGTAATTCTCGTTGATGAAACTTTCAGGAAAGCTTTGGCTGTTTGGGAGCTTCTTCCACATGACACATTGCCCCATTCAGTTTTTTAGGCTAAAAGAATATTGATTGCAATAGCTTTTATAGCTACCAAACAGCCAAAGTTTTTTCAGCAGGGCTTCCSTGGATGACACGTTAGCTTACAAACACTCAATATCGGTGCTAAATACATGGCTGGATGGAGATGGGAGATGGGGTCGCCACAATTGTGAACATCTCTCCATCACTTTAACATACAATTATGGTCGGCAGGGGTGTATCGGTGCTTTAAATCATGTATATTTTGTTTTTCAAATTTTAATTATATATATCAAGATTCAAAAAATCGTTGTGTATTGGCCCATATTAGCTGATATGTATCATATCTTCCGATACACCTCTACAGGAGTTGTATTATGTCAGGGCCTGGTTTAGAGGGTAGTCAGGATTTAAATTGACCTTTCTGAACCAAAATTGGGCCGATATTGACTGATACATCCTACCGGTGTATCGGCCAGTATCAATACTTTGAACCTTGATATAATATATATATATATATATATATATATATATATATATATAAAATAAAAAATTGGGTTCTTAAAAATACCTGTAAACAAATATATCGGATATCCAAAAATACAATATGACACGCCCAATATAAGATGGACTGGATGTCTTGCTCTGACAATATTCACAAGGTTTGTTTGATTACAGGAGATCCGGGCTCAGCTGGGTGAACTAATGTGTCACGTAGGGAGGGCCTATTGACAGCCCAAACTGTGTTGACTATGCACAGCCAAAGTTCTCTGTCATTATGCTGGGCCTATAGGGCCTATAATTAGTGGGTTAATGGGGCTGGGGAAGAAAGGATGCGCACATGGGTTAATCGGCTTTACAACTCAAGCAACATGCTTTTCTGCAGCTTCATAGCCTATGGGCTACAAATGGAATCTATTGTCCAAATTCAATATATATATTTGTTTGAATGTAATGCAGTTATTTTTGATATATTTCGTTTGTAAAATATAATGTCAAAGTCATTTTTAGTTCATTTCATTAATAATACAACAAATTTTGATAATTTTTAGTTTAATTTATTAATGCTATTTATTATTCAATTGCAATCTCAATCAATTCACAATCTAAATATAAATGAATCAAATCTGAATCTACCTATATCTAATTTGATCCGATCCATTTGCAGTCTTATTCAAACATGTGCCTTCTTAGTGGGAGGGATGCCTATTGACCACCTAGACTGTCATCGGAAATTCCTACCTTTCCGGCCCTAGGGAGAACCATCATTTTAGGCCTGTTCTTAGCATCTAAACCATCAAAATGCCTTCTAGGCTGGGCTGATGTAGCAAAGAGAAAAGTGTCACATGTTTTGATGGATGTTAGGCGACTGGTACATAAGGATGTAAACGGATCGAATTCAAACCGAATCAGATAATATTTTATTTTGAATCCAATCCGAATTCGACTTGATATCTAACAGATATTGAAAATTAATATTCAAATTTGAATCCGATTAAATATTTGAATATTTGATTCAATTCGAATTTGACTAATTAATTATATTAGATAATTAATAAATATATAAAATAAATATTTTTTTTATATAAAGTATATGAGTATATGGATCAAATTGTGTTGCCTTCTACAAAGTGTAGAAAGGATCAAATTGTTTAATTATTAAAAACAATATGATCCCAGTCATATATGGTCAAAAATTAAAACCCCATTCTAATTCACCATGAACCATCCGGCTACACTTGGTAAACACACTTTAAGACTAATTAGAAAGGGTTCAACTATGATGCCAGAAAGACATGTACCAGAAAGGGGTTCAACCATGATATGGGAAAGATATGATATCTGAAAAAATTTTGACAACTCAACTAGCATCATACGTGTGGTAGCCAATCAAGTAGGGGTGGCAATTTTCCCTGTACTCGACGAGGTCGGGTAGGGCCAAGGGTTAGGGATAGGGCTATCCCTGAATCCTCGATCAGGTTCGGGGACGGGGATGGGGAATGCAATCCCCACCCCGCCCCAACCCCAATTAATATATATATATATAATTATATATTATTTATATTATTATATTATTCATTTTTTTTGTAAAAGATTAAAACTTGAAAATAAAAACTAATACTATTCGTTCTAAAAAACACTTGACAGACAAAGAACCTTGAACCTTAGTTATTCACTTCTTCTTCCTTCGCCTTCATAGCCGACTCGCAAACCGCCATCGCTGTCTGCCAACCTCAAATCGCAATGATCCTCTCTCTCTCTCTCTTAGTCTTTAGTCTCTTAGTCTCTCTTTCTCTCATTAGTCTTGGGGTCCCCCATCCCCATCCTCAAATGGTCACATTGGGGATTTGGGTCTCTAACGGGAATTCATCCCCGTCGGGGTCGAGGATGGAGGAGAATTCCTTTCCCCAATGGGGATCAGGGACGGGGATGGGGATGATTTGGGGATTGGGGTCAAGGATCGGGAATGTAATCCCCACCCCGTTGCCATTCCTATAATCAAATGTTATTTATCAAAATTCATGGGTGGGTTTTGATTTATCAAAACTCTTCCCATACCATATCTTTCCAACATCATAGATTTTCCCACCAGAAAAACTTACAACTAATCAACCAGCATCATAAAAGTGCTATTCAATCAGGTGGGTTTTCATCAAAATTCACAGGGGGTTTTGATTGGTCAAATCATTTCCAGTATCATGTCTTTCTGGCATCATAGAATTTTCCAATTAGAAAATAAACTGCATGACCACATCAACTCCAAGTACAGAAAAGCAAAACGAAAACTGGGAGTCTAGATCTCTTACCCACAAGAACTTTGCCCACGTTTATCGCAACCACACATGGAGAACATCTCATCCTCTTCATAGTATTATGCAGGGGGAGATGTTCCCAATTCACGGGGGTTAGTGTATTGTGGGTAGGCATGGGCAAAGTTCTTGTGGGCAGGAGATCCGGAGTCGAAAACTGGGGTTAACACCCATAGATCTCCCCGTTGGCACAAGGTGATGGCATTTCCAAAGTTTAATTCGAATGGTTAAATCCTGTACAAATCAAGTTCTTAACATGAGATTCTGGTGGGTGAGTCAATGACATGAGCCGGGTCTATTTGATTGGATTCACCGGAAGATGTTCAAGTGGATTAGCTTTTTAGGCCCTTGAATGCAGTTTGTCCCGGCAAGTTCAAAACCTCCCCCARACTAGTACCCTATATACCTAGCCACAATGAATATGGCTTGGGTCCACAATTTGGGCCTGGGAACAATCGAGCCCAATTCTGGTCCCGATAATTTGGAAGTATGAATTAGGTCCAACATCAGACCTAGTTAGCATACAACCTATAATAATAAAAAGGGTTGCTGAAATATCCCCTGAAGTTTCTGACTGTTGCAGAAACCTCCCCTGAACTTCTTGACACAGTTACAAATAGATCCCCTCTCTTAGAATCCTCTAATAAAAGGCACAAACATGTCCAAAATACTCATTCAATTACTATTAAAATTGGTTTCTACACAAGAAAAAACAATACATACTTTATAAACAACAAAAAGTAGAGAATTTAAAGTTGTAGATTTTACCTAAGGGCAAATTTGAAAAATAAATCTATTTCAGAAAAGAGATTAGAGGGGTTTGGACTAACCATTTGTATGAGAAAATTTAGAAAATAAACATTTTGGTCAGAAATAACTGCATGGATATTTTAGACATTTTTCATACCTCTTTTTGGAAGATACTGATAAAGGGGGTTTATTTGCAACTATGTTAGAATTACAAAACTTCAGGAGAGGTTTTAGCAATTTATCCTAATAAAAAGGAGCCCAAAGGCACAATAAAGTCGATAACCAATCAACCAGTAGCATATAAGTGGTAACCAATCGATTAGTATTCATCAAAATTCATAGGGGGTTCTGATTGGTTAAAGACTTAAATTGCATGAATCTGGAATTTTTTTAAGAAAGCAAATCCGATTTCCTCCTTTTCCCTAGCAAGATGCAGCATAAAAAGTTTAGATATTAGTTTTCTTTTCTCAATGTGTTTTTTTGCCATTTCAGAATACCTGAATAGCAAATAATACAGATTATTCGGCCAATCTGGGTCTGGAACCACCTGTGTCACAGTCAGACCTGACAGGAATTGAAAGTTTGAAATATAATTCGGTCAAGGTCTAGGAATACAAGGACCCAGCTTTTCTCTAAGACTAACTTTCTTGAGAGGACGCAATGCTAAGTCAGTATTGCAGAGAAAAAACAGAAACTGTGGTAATAGAAGCAGCAAACTTACATTTGAGAAAAACCTTGAAGAAGAATTTTCTTATGAATTTACAAGGCAGCTGCTTTGAACAAAAGCTAGCAACCTACTAAGAATTTACATTCCTCACCCTCAACCCACTCCGCTTTCCACACAGGCACATATTGGCCAAACGAAGACAAAAAGGAAAATCAAGGGGTAAAGCCACARTTAGTCCTCTTTTCGCTTTCTATACCACCTCTTCAACCTTTAATTTGATTGGCACAAGCTTCCATCAAATCGAAGCCTGAACTTTAATACCGTTTGATATACAGATCTTTTTCTGTGTCAATGGACTATATCCTCGCTCCCAACACCAACGCTAGACTTGTCAACCATGCGTACATTGTACTGTTCATATACCCTAGCACGGTTCTCTGCCCACCATTGTTCTGCTTGTTTCTCACTAAACCGCTTCCGACTGCATTCAAATATCAGTGGTTAATTTTCCTTCAACAGAGGAATGAAAACTCTTATCCCACTTGACTTGATAAATCAAGGAGATGATCCAGTTAAGAATTTAAAGAGTTGGTTATTCTATCAGATAGATGCAGCAGGGGCATAGCATACCTGAAACGGACTCTCTTCAAATCTTTGGCACCCCCAGGTAAGGATGTAAGTGTAATGTATACACCAGGCTCATCTTGCTCAACCCATTCAACCTCCTGATAGGATTCCCCTTCTGTCATTCTGATTCCATTCCTTGTTGTTGGTTCAGAATGGCCAAGTCTATTCTGACTTGAATTACGGTCACTTGTGCTTTGCCCATTAGAAAGCACCAGGCCGTTTGATCCATTTGAATCTGGTTCATGGGAGGTTATTGGACTACTCAATCTATCAGTAGGTGTAGCAGAAACATCAGCAGAGACAGGACTTGAGCCTAAGGATGCAAATGGCAGAGGTTTGCTGTTTCGTGCTGCTCCTACAGGTAGCCTTTCAGCCATGTCTTTCAACTATTACAGAGAGCATTTTTTATTGGCTATTAGAGACAACATAGAAAGAAGAGAAAAATGCATGAATTTAGCAACCACAAGTTCATCAAAACAAAGAAAGTAGCAAGACTTGGCTTAAGTAACCTGATAAATCACCAAATAAGTGCCAATACCATTCAACCATTTGTTTTTCCAGTTCATCCAACTTTATGCTAATTAAAAAGAAAAAACCATCTCATAGATAAGATAATCCAATAAATGTAGTCAGACATGATTCAGGCTCTTAGCATATACATAAGTGAGCCATCTTGCTGRGACCCAGGCACACAAAACACTTATAGGGAAGAGGTGCATGCTTATTGATATCAAAGAATTTATAAAGATAAGAGCTTGTGTTTTATTTCCCTTTTTTTTTATAACCTGTTTTTTATTTCCACTTGTAAGCTTCTTTTTGTATTATTTTCAATTTATAAGCTTTCTACATCCAAATAGATGCCAATCCAGCTTGCTGAGATCAGGACATTTTGGTTGCAAATTTGTGATCTAACACCAATTCTAACCATAGTAAGCATAGTAACATGTATGGGAAATAAATATATGGTGGGAAAACTAGAAAATATATGGGTATAATTTGCTTATAATAATTGATGATACAGTTAAAAATTCAGTTGGAGAAGTTAGTGCATCAAAAGATTGGTCTGTACTCAGTAACAAGCTTCATGTTTCTCACTGAAGAAAAGAAATTTGGATTCATGTTTGATACAATTTTGCCTATAAATTCAGGAGGTGATTTTGGCATAAATATGCATATGTATATGCAAACTTACAGCATTGGTAAGAAGTGATCTGTTACAAGTTGAAGGGCCTAGAACTTAGAGGAGCTAGGGGCAGAGCAAAAAGGGCATGGGGTGAAGTAGTAAGAAATTTAAGGGATCATAATTCAACAATGGTTATGGCACTGAACAGAATGGAACAGCAAAATGGTATTCATGTAAATGTCCACACACACATGCACATATATGYGAGTGAACCTACCAAGGTAGCTAATGTAAATGTCCACTGACCCACCTTTTTTATTCATGTTATTTTTCTCTTTCTGAAAGAATCTACTGTTAACATGATTTAAACTTCATTCTTACAAATATAATATCATCCAAAGTACAAAGAAAATTTAATATCTCACCTAACTACATTCCCAAGGTATTATTACTTATTCCACTCTAAATCTCCAATGCGACCCCATCAATCCCCCTCCCTCCTCTCTCAGGAATAACTTCAGCAACAAAAGAGATAATCACAAATTGGCATCATCAATGGTCACCAGTTACGCAGATTAATTGGAGACTGTTTTCCTGGTTCTGCACAGATTTGGCTGTGGAAGATGTAATATGATCCTCCATTGTTCAAGGTGGATCTGGTAGGAGTTTTTTAAATCCAACATGATTGGGATGTATGGAGTTGGAGACAGTTAGAATGGATGAGGGACAAGTATACACTTCTGTCCTATTTTTAAAATAATTGCATTTATTAAGGTTTCAAAAGGTAAAGGCAGACGTGAAGTGGTAGGGCCTGAACAAGTAGGGCATATGAAGGATAAGCATAAAACAATTCCACATAAAAATGGACAAAATTCAAGTCATAAAATAACGTCAGAAAAATACTAATTGTGAACTTGCTAATGTACTACATATACAGCTTCCTGGTTTTTAAGCCCTTCAAGTTCAAACTACACCTAGTGTTTTAAAAGGTGTGCCTAGATGCACAGACAATGAGCATTTTAAGACATATGCCTCTGCTGAACCCAGGCAGAGCCCCTTTCAAAAATCAAGTACATTTTTTATACCTTCTTTTGAAAGGTAAATAAAAGGATTTGTATTATAGAACGTAAATTGCCTTTTATTTGAAAGGTAAATAAAAGATAAATTGCCTCTTATTGCTATTTATATACTAGTAATAGTCTATTAACTTTTAAAATAAACAAAAAAGAAACACCTTTCAGCTGGCAGGTTTGTTTACCAAGAGCTTTTGCTGTACCGGGATGGATTATATGTGTAACAAGATGGAGCTCTATGATATATATGCTCCAGCTTGAGGGGGAGTGTCGAAATGTATGCCCATAAGGGGCATTTTGGTCTCTTAGCATAATATTTTATTTTCCCCTGTCATTAAATAGGGGGCATTTTGTATTTTTGCACCTTCAGATGGCTGGTATTAACCACCTTCGGCCTGTGCTGTGATTCAGCTTCTGCAAGAAAATGGAGAAATAAAAGAAAAGAACAGAAAAGAGAGAAGAGAAGAAGAATGAAAAAAAGGAGCAGTTATTATGCTTCTGCCGCCCAGATCTGATATTTATAGATTTCTGTCATAAAAGAGACTACAATGACATCTATACCCCTGACACCTAAGACACTACTTAACAGAATAAAATAGTAACTACAGCAGGCCCAAAAGAAAAGTAATAACAGGCCCAAGCAGAACTAAAAAAAAATGTAAATAAAGAAATAACCAATATGGCAGGGTAGCACCAAATAAATTACTATACTGTTTCTCTACACCCTCTAAAGATGGAATAACAGTGCAGGTCAACCAGGAGAAGAGTTCAGTTTGTATCTTCCTCCTGGAGACCCTTTTTCACTTTCTTCTTGTTCTCTTCTGTAGAAGACAGCCTTCTCTACCTTTTCCCTTTCTCTTCCTTCTCATTTCCACCTTTATTCTCAAGTTGTAAGAGCACCAATACTAGTTTGTTTTCCCTTCAACCTCAAATCAGCCACTGTTTTTCCCTCTTTTCCGCATTCTTTCTCTTCTTTTTCTGGGTTGTTTAAAGCCCTAGTACTGGTCATGGTTTACTGAGTTTCTCCTAGGGCTTTTCCCTTGGGAGAAGGTCCAGGGAGACCCAGAACAGATTCAGGTATGCTCTGCTACAGCAAGACAGATCTGTAGTAGTCCTTGGACTACTAGAGTGACCTGTAGAAGACAGGTCAAGCTTGTGGACTGCAAGTAGGCACAGTTCAAAGGATTTCTCATACCGCATTTTATTTTTGAAAAAGATAGTAACTTTATTAATGAAACAGGAAGTACGTGAGAAGATGTACACAGAAATTACAACTCAAAGGTTAAGTAGGAAGAAAGATATCACTAAATAAGAAATCCTGTGAGCACCAGCTTTTGCTAGGCCATCCGGAGCAGAGTTTAGCTCCCTAGGGATTCAGCCCAACTGTGCATTTAAGTTAGAGAGGATATCTCTAGCTTCAGCCAAAAAATGAGCTAAAGCCCATGGGGCACTGCCAGGGTCGGCTAGCCACTTGATGGTATTTGCCAAATCTCCTTTTATGAGAATGTTTTGATAGCCCAGATCTCTTGCAATCCCGATTACAGTTAGTGCTGCCATGACTTCAGCCTTTGTTGAAGAGGCTATCCCAATCAGTCCACTGAAAACCCAATTAATTGTACCATCTCTTCTTCTAAAAATTCCACCAATTCCTGCTGCACCTGGGTTTCCAAAATGCACTTCTATCAAAGTACATAAGTACATGGTTATCTCCCCTTCCGCAACAGATGAGTGGGGGAGGGGTGATTAAAGACAGATGTTTGGAAAACAAAAAATCTGCAGCATTTCTTTGAAGATCAGAAAAGGAAACTCGTTTAAAAAACTCTGAGTTGGAAGTCCAAAGGAAACATCTATAGGAAATGATAGACAAGAACTCCTCATAGTTTCTTTTTCTGTTGTCGAAAATGCGGTTATTTCTCTCTCCCCATATGCTCCAAAGGATAGCATGTGCTACAGAAAGCCATAAAGTCCTTCCTCTTTTGCTTAACCCTCTTGCTGTCCATTGTCTGAGACAGTCTACCACATGTTCTGGGAAAGTCCAACTATAACTGAAAAGATTGAGAAAGAAAATCCAAAATGTCCTAGTTTCCTCACAGTGGATCAGAATATGATTGGCTGATTCCCTGGCTTTTAAGCAGAAACAGCATACATGTGGGGATAAATAAAACCTTCCATGGTTCTTTTTCTGGAGGAGATCATAAGTGTTGATCTTCTTCAGACTAGCTTCCCACACAAAAAAACAAACTCTGGAGGGAATGTGTGCACCAAACTCTCATACCACATGAGTGGAGGTTTTTTGGGTTTCAGCATAGAAGGTTACTGAACTGAAGCAGGGAGGTCACTGTTGGTGTTCCTATGCAAGCTACAGCAGAACTGAACATAGCTGTCAAGGCAACACCTAGGTGGGCACCTAGGTGTCGCCTAGGCAACTAGGCGGATTTTAGGTTGCCTTTCCCAACGCCAAGATGGTTTTCAAATTAGGCACTCACCCATACATATTATATCATTTTATTGGTTGGTTTTATTTTATTAGAATACACCCTGCTGTATGTTACAATTTTGTATTAAGATAATTCTTTTTTTTATTAAAACCACAAGAGTTTCTTTGGGTTTGAGTTCTGAACCGAGTCTGAGAAGAGAAGACCGAGGATTGAGAAGTTTCCATTGTTTCAGTCCAAGCCGTCGAGGAAACGGTCCAAGTTGTTCTCTGCTCCTGTATTTTTTTCTTACTTTTTTTAAGAAATATTTTTGGGAACAAAACAGGGGCTCGGCCTCCTCCTCCTCCTTCAAATCGCCCTGTTACTCCTGTAATTTATTTTCTTACATTTAAAAAAAAAAACTTTTGGGAACTAAACAGGGGCTGCGCCCCAACTTTCTAAATTTTCCTGTATTTTTTGCACTATTTTTTAATAGTTTTTTTACACAAAACAGGGACTCTGTCCCCTTATTTTCCTCTCTCCTTTTTCACTGCATTCTCCTTTAAACATGGTCCAAGTCGTCCTCTTACTCCTGTATTTTTATTTTCTTACTTTTTTTAAGAAATATTTTTTGGGAACGAAACAAGGGCTCCACCCCTTTATTTTTCTCTCTTTCTTTTGCTGCATTCCCTCATTTTTGTTGACCTGAAACAGGTTATTAAACATTGAAATTAATATATTTAAATGATGTATATATGAAGGCATTTTATGCTTTT